AAAATTTTTTTTGTATCCTCACACAACATCGTATTTTTTACTTCCATTAGCAATCCTTTATGGATTTATCGGTGTAACTGTGACGAATCTCTGCTCCCTCACTGGTTTGATCTTCGTTCCACTTAAGCGTTTCCGATACTACAATATTGTGCTGACTGTCCTGGTCAGCCTTGCCGTTGGAGCCCTTTCAACCACCGCTATTTGCGTTCTCATACCAGAGGTATTTTATCTTGTAAATTTTGACGATTCATGGTGTACCAATTAATTTGCAATTTTTACATGCACTGTAAAGTTGAATTGACTCTGAAAAGAAGACTTGGCTCACATTTTGACAGTTACCCCTATTTACATTCGTTAAATTCTTCACCCCGACTCTGCACCAAACACGCTTAGATAAATTTAGCCACAGTATGCTAACCAGTAAAATTTTTTTCGTGGTTAGACCATAAGAGCAAGATCTTTATATTTTTCTTCTGCGGTTTGTTGATTGGTTGACTTACATTAAGTGCACTCTGGAGAAATTTCTCACTGCAAACTTAAGCACATTGTTTGCCCTGCGTTTTGTCTTCCGTTTTTCGATATACTTGCGTTTTATAAATCGGAATGTTAAGAACTGACTTCAGTCGTTCAGGATCTCTGGTGGTGACAGTCGAGTCACGAGATCTTCGTTTTCGAAATGTTTTTTAAGTTAAGACGAGTTCTATATAATGTTCCGTGCATGTGTGCGGCCTTTAAGAACAATGCAGTCACAGAAATTGCAAAAGTTAGAAAAGAATGAGTTTTATTTTGATGAACCATATTCTCCGTTGGCTTGCCTTTTTTACCATGGAGGATTGTTTACAAATAGGGGCACAATAGTTTTCATTTTGAATTAAAAATATTAATTTTATCTCTCTAACGAAACTGATAGCGCCTATTAATTAAGCTAATTTTGAGATTTTAAGTGGCTTTAAGTATCCATTATTAACACTTCTTTTCACCAAATGGGACTTCCAGAATACGTTTTGACGAGTTATATAACAACCACGGTTTTCGCCTAAATAGACGGCTAGCCTTTCTCACTGTACTGCCGATTGGACGGCTATTTCAAGATTACTTATTCCTTATTTGAAATTTTCTCCTAGCCGCTTTCTTGTACAGGTTGCACGGACGTATTTGCATGTTCGTCTATGGCTTCCTTCCTCTTCTAATCGCAAGTCACTTTTACCATGCTGGTGACTTGATTTAATTATTCATTCGCCAAGTTTATCCGGGGTAGAAACGCATTTTAAGTTTTTTTCTGTACATGCTCGCACGCTTTGACTTAAAGTTGTTCCCGGCCTCGCCTTCGTGTACTGTACACATCTGGAGTTTCCCCGCTTATTGTGTATTGACCGTCAATTCTGTCTCTTTTAGTAGGCCAGGCGTTTTTCGGATCCAAAATTAGTACACTTTACTATTTAGTAACTGCATTTTGCCTGCTCTGTTTTTAGGACCCGCGCGTTTTAACTTCCTCCTCCCCCCTCTTCAAGTGGGATTTAATTTCCCATACGTATTAACGGACGTCCACTTTTGTGGCATACGTTGCTTATTTTAGCGAATTCCCTTCCAATTGTCTCTTCAAGTGTCTGCATAGGAAATATCTGTGCCTTCGTAGGAAATTCCTATTCCCCCGAAACTGTCCGATAAATAATTTATCTTTTGAAATAAGTCATTGTTAGTGCTCAGTAATTGTAGCCCTAGAAATTATAGACGAGGAAGCCTTTATGCCTAACGCCTATTTGGACGTTTAAGACTAGGAGTTTCTCGATCCCTCTACGGTTTGAAACCGGCTCTAAGTAAGAGCCATCGCCTTTTAAATCCAAATAATTTTTTGTACTTTTAAAGCCCATCCCCATTTACTGTTTTTTCTTCAGGCACTACGCATGGTTGATATGCCAGCTGAATTTGGAGGCCAAGGACGGTTCTATCTATGGAAGATGGTGTCGATTGTTCTCGGCTGCATGTTTTTTTACTGTCTCGAGTACTTTTTATTCCTGATGCCAAAACTCTGCAAGGTCAGTCTCCTTAACCTAATATTTTCGTGACCCTTGTCTGTCATGCGTAGCTTTCGATCAGTCCGCATCTTCTTATACAGATCATTAGTAATTATGCGCATTTAAAGAAAAACCGCAATTTAACGAGCAATCCTTCGTCTTCAGTTTTCAGTAATGATAGGCCGCGAATTTGTATGAAAAAAGCCATAGTTGTTGTGATTGAAAGGAGGAAATACTTTTTTTCACGCGCACCCTCCGTCAATTTCTTAGCTGTAGTCTTAATCGGTAGCACTTCTACCATACAAAATTGATAATACTTCAGGTTCTACCTGTTTTGTGTGACTAAGTTGATATTTTTAAACCGCTGTGCCATTTTCCTTCGACTCACCAACTGGCATTTTTTTCTAATTTTTATATGACTCTTTCGCTGACCAAAGCTTTTTTTCCTCCACCTTGTCATTCCAAGGCTGCCTTAATCATGCTAAATTTTCTTAAAAGTGTGACTGTTTCGCATTTAAGTAGAACGAGCTCTCCGCTTTCGTTAAAAAGGCCCTCTTCCACAAAAGCAAGTTGTAAGCTGAACATAGACGCCTCTTTGGCGTGCTATCGCGTAAATAGTGTGTCGTTCTGCGCCATCGACTTTCCAGTCGGCTCTTTTTAAACTATGACGGTCACACCCATATCGTGCGTCGACCTTTTAAGTTTTGGGGCTGTTTGATCCACAAGTCGTTAGTTTGCAGCCACACTGAGCCGTGCAGGGAGGCACAACAGAAGTGGTTTGCGGAGAGGAGGCAATACATACTGTATTTCTGTCAGAGTAGTTGGCCAATCGATGGACAGCTTGCTCAAGATAAGTCACCCTACGCAGACACAATGCTTTCGCCGTCTTGCCTCGTGTCCCCGTTCCCCGGCTCCGTTGCCCTCTACTGATGACTTGCCTCTCCTGCCCTTTTCCGGAGGTTCGCTTGATGCGCGTCTTAGCCGTTTAGAATTTGAAGTTTCACCAGGAACAAGCCGATGTCTTTGGTCATCCGTTAGTTGCACAGCGCGCTGTTGGCACTGGCAGCGAGTGCCAGAGCGATTGCGGTGTCGTTGAACTCCGAAACACGTTGTTGACGGATTTGTTTAGGAATGCAAGTGTGGAGTGAGAAACCTCACTTTAGAGAAATCACACTTGTGTGTAATATGCACGTACTCCGACCAGTGCTTCATTTATAGGCAGCACTAGATATCTAAACGTGGTCTGCCTGCCAGAAAAAATTTTTTACCGCAAAACTGGACCTTTAGGCCTTTCCGTGGGTTGACTAACTAAGCGAGATTTAGGCTGCGCAGTACAGGGACTTCGTCTTTTATGTATGTATGTGTGTGTGTGTGTGTGT